AGAGAGAGAGAGATAGGGACCTAAGTTAAGAGATGTTAGGAGTCCTAGGAAGGCCTACAGCACGAGCCCAGACGATAACTATACAGTGTACTTTGAAGACAACTGAACTAGAGCAGCTCAGGAGGTCAAAACAGAGAATTAGGGGGCTGGGGAGATAGCTCAATAGAATAAGCATTTGCCTGGCAAGGGCAAGGGCCTGAGTTCAATCCCCAGTTCCGAAAAAAAAAAAAAAAAATTAAAAACAAAAAAACAGAGAATTGGATAATTTAGCTATAAGCCCATGTGAAACCTAGCAAACAAACAAAAAGGAAAATAATGACGCAGCAAAGAATGTGTCACCAAAGTAGCCTGAATGGCTCAACTCTGAATAGCATTTAAAAATATTATAATGTTGACACAATATAAGCTAACCCAAAAATTTAACACAGTCATGTCACAAGGAAAACTTCCACGTGTGTTTTGCTGATGGTAGAGGACATCTCAACCATCATCTTCCCTTCAGATGCCAAGAGATAAGACCCGAAACTGAAAATACCAGAAGTAGCAGGTTAGAGATAAAAACACAAATAGAAGAACAACACTCTACAGGCAAATAGCTATGGAACTAGCTAGAAAAGTTGAAGATTGTTACCTCTGAAAAGTAAGGGATGGGGAGTTGGAGACAAAGATTCTCCTAATAAGATTTTCTAACTTTCTGTGGTCATATAACTAATTTTTATAAAAATAAATTCTAATTTTTTTCATTAAAAAGAGTAACTCTGCTCTTTCTACTTACATAGCAATCGATGTCATTTGTAAAGAGAGATTATACCTTTAGTTTTGTTGTTCACAAAACTCTCTACTCCAAAAGCCTTCAGAACTTTTACAACGAAGCCCACAGTGCTGTTTTCTGCTGCTGTGTACTGGCTATTTTATATTTATCATGGGTCCTCTGCCTTAAGATTCTGCTGATCAACTTCTCAGTCACCTACCACTCCTCCCTTCTTTACTCAAGACTACCAAAAATAAATGATTCTTAAAAACCAGTATCTCTAGAGCTTATGCAGAACAAGATGAATGACATACTAACTAAAAGAATAACTATAGTTCATACAAAACTGTCTATAGAATACTTCTAGTTCTGCACCTTGTCACATATATAAATGAAACAATTATTGGCTTTTATAGCATCAAAAAGTACCTAATTCTTCATCTGTCTTTTTAATAATGCTGAGGGTAGTTCTCAGCTCTATAAGGGAATCCATTTTAAATAAAGATCATTATTTTTTAAGAATGTAATCTCAAGCGTGTGTACTTCCATGATCTGAGCTAAAGACATGAAAGAGAAAATGTAATTTAAATTATTGACTTAAAAAGTAAAACCCTAAAGTGAAAGAATAATTAATGTCCCTTAGGGGTTTTTTCTGCAGTGCAGCATATAGCCAAATAAAAATGTAGTGACACTCTCACTGTATTTGAGATGGTATTACCAGTTTTTACCAAGGAAGAGATTCAAACATTCATAATTTGGTTTTAAAGATGACATTGATAACCAAAAAAATGTTTAAAATGTTCTCTCTGAAAGAGGATTAAAGTGTGCTCTGGTTCATGGTGATTAGGGAGAATTTTCAAAGGCAGAAGTACTGTCAGATCCATTTGTACACTTGGGTGAGCAAAAATCAGGGTCACTGAACATCAGCTAGAACAGGCCTTATTCTCCCAAGTCCTTGCCTCGGACCAAGGAAATTAGGGCTCAGAGACGCTCAGTGGCTTGCACAGGCCACCAAGCTGTATGCAAGCAGAGACTTCCGCTCCAGGGGCCTCTGCTTTACAGCCCAGGGCTCCTTCCCATGGTGAAGTCACCTTTTCTAGGAAAAGATATATATATATATATATAACCCCTACAATGAAGCAGCGCATTTCATTTGCCGGCACATTCCAGGGCTTAGCTCCTCGCACCCTCCAGGAAGCCCTGTGTGTCCCCACTACAATACTGAAGGTGAAGAGCCCAAGGCACGGGTTCCACAGCAGCCCCAGACCTGCCAGCTGTTGAGGGGTTCTGCTACCAACTCTGTGGAAAGCACACACTGAATCCCTGTTTAACGTATTAACTGCTTACTGTGAAGTAAAGATGCAGTGTGTTCCTAGAAGATCCTCTGAGAAAGTCTGTCATCTAGCAACTTTCTTAAGAGTAAAAAAGTGGAAGGCAGGCAGGTGCAGTTTAGGGGGAAAATTGTTCTGTTTCCTTTCTGAATAGCAGCCAGATCACTCTTGAAAAAGTGTTTTAGTGCAAAAATTGTAATTTGTAAAACCAATAAAATATAAACATTAGCCCAGCAAATTTTCACCACTAAATTCAAAGTTGGAAGGGAAAAAAAATAAGCAAAGAGACTTGGGAACATTTAGAAGGATTTGAGGACTAAAAAAAAAAGCAGCAACAAAATGCAACACAAATCCTCTGAAGCTTGAGGCACGCCAGCCCGCAGGCCAACAGGACTCTGCGCCCTCGTGTCCTTTGACCTCCATTGTGAGGCCGAGAGGTCCTTTGGCCTCCATCTGCCCTCATCTGGACAGACAGACAGATGCCCTTAGCCTTGAATCCTAGGCCAAGTGAGCTGACACCCCACTGGAAGGACCGATGTTTCTGCAAACCACGGATTTCACAGTAGGGGGCCACACCCCCACCCAATCGACCCTCCAAAGCCCAGAGCTGAAAGAATAGGCTCTGGCGATCCAGGACAGCTCAAGGTCTGGGGGACGCTTCGAAACTCTGGGGACTGGAACCGCAGAGAGAAGTAGCCCAGGGCTGGCAGCTTAGCAGCCGCCCTTGCATACAAACGCTCGCTTTCGTAATCAGCTTCCCTGGCAGGTACGCTGTTCGGGGCAAATCACCTGGAGCTCAGGCGCTGAAATCCGTCCCACGATCAAAACCCCCGCCTCTCCGTTCTTGCGGGTGTGTTCACTGCACTTGGGAAGGACGAGGGCAGCCGCTCCCACTGTGCCGCGTCTCACCTGTATCTGAGGCTCCGGGGCTCGGGTTGCGCTGTCCCCCACCGCTAGGGCTCGGCCGTACCAGGTCATGGATAAACCCTTCACCGGGCTCAGCCTGGCTTCCCTTGGGTCTCGGCCGCGTGGCACCAGAGTACGTGCAGCTTTCCCCTGGGTTGTACCGCTGCCACTGCAGGCGCGTGCGAGCCGAGGAAAAGCAGAGGCGGGATTCCCCGAGCTCTGACCACCCCAACCGCGACTCCACGGAAGAGAGCCCGCACTGGGCTGGGATTTAGCCCGCCTTCCTGCCATCTATCCTCCAGGAAAATAAGCCACACCGGAGGCTTCCCGATTACCTACCCGCGACCAACCGCTCCCTGTAGACAGCCACCAACACAACTCAGCATTGCGCTTCTATCCAGTTCGGAGATTATTTCAGATTCCTAAGACTTCCAGAGAAAACGCGAGCAGAAAGGACATTCAAAGCCTCCCCACCCCCGGCAAAGCTGAGCTCTAGGAGTTTTGCAGCCTGTCCTGACAAACGTACAAGGGTGTCGCCTGAGTCCACATACAGCAAGGCATTTTCGTGGCGAGCACAGAAGCTTGTTCATAACTGCAGGAGTCAGGGAAGGAGTGAGAAGGGTGATACAATGAGCCTTTAAAAGAAACCTAGGGTCTGTGGCCAGAGCAGCCAGGAGACCAGGAGGCCAGCATTAGCCCAGCAGTGGCGCGCAACTGCGGAGCGTCCGCAGAGGCTTCCGCGCTGAGAGTGGGCGCGCGTCGGAAAGGGGCCGGGCCACAAGTGCTTTGGCATTGGCGCGCTTCAGACCTTGGAGCAGGGCACCGGTCGTGCGCCCCTGGTGTGAGCCCCGCGCTGGCGGATGGGGGTGGGGGGTAGTTTGACAGCAGCACCTGTCAGAGGTGGGCACGTGAGATCTGCGGGCCCAGACACCCCTTTGCCCAGGGCCCTCCACCTCCCCAGGACCCTCTAGGCACCTCCTCCACCGAGAACGTTCCTCCGAGCTCGTGGTCAGGCAGCGCAACCTGAGAGAGTCCCTGCACGCCCTCCTGTTCCCAGCGCCGCGGGGCAGTGGAGCCGCAGAGGACGAGGAGAGCGGCTGGGTTAGGGCCAGGGGCCCGGGGCGCGCCCCTGCTCACCTCGTTCACTAGCCTGGATGTAACCCACGATGTCGTCCAGGTCCAAGTCTTTGGTCTCGTCGAAACTGTAGGCGGATGTGTGTAAACCCTCCTCCTGGAATACCTCGTGGACCCCCTCGAGAGTGAAGTAGCAGTTGCGCTCTAGTTTGTCGTCGCTGTAGACCAGCACGGCACGGCTCCACTGGTGGTGGCGGAACAGGGCAAGCATCATCTCGCCCATCTTGGCATAGGCAGGCGCCACGCGCGTAAGGTGCGAGTACTCGGCGTCCTTGTGCTGGAAGCCGGCGGCCAGGGCTCCTGCCGACAGCATGGGCAGGTCCCAGTGCGACGCCAGCCGGGCCACCGGCGCCGCTGCGTACTCGCACACTGGCCCCAGGATGAGATCGGGCTTGGTGCCCCGCGCCGCCGCCACGCGGTCCACCAGGCTGAAAAGCGCGCGGTTGCCGCAGTCTGAGTCTTCGTAGGCTACCTGGAAGCGAGTGCCGGGTGGCAGAAGCCGCAGGCCGGTCCCATTGCCCTCCACGCTGCGGAGCGCGTACTCGATGGCCGGCCGCACGCGAGCCAGCGAGAACAGGTAAGAGTCGTCCTGGGGCAACAGCACCAGCACCTCGATCTTCTGCGGCGGTAGCGCTTCTCTCTCCCGGCGCCCGCCGCCTGGGCGCGCGCCCCCGCCGCCTCCATCACCGCCGTCTGCGCCACCCGCCAGCAGCGCGCAGCAGAGCAGGACCTGCGCCGAGAAAGTGAGCACCAGCAGCCGGGCCGGCATGGTGCGGCGACGCGGCGCTCACCCTCACCGCCGGCTCGCCCTCCGCCCCCCACGCGCCCTGCCGCCTTTCTCCCCACTCTCCTTTCCGAGGTCCCTGCGCCCCCTTAGGCGCCCTAAGAAAACAGAATGCCCCCTTCACTAACGCCGAAAGATAGGAAGAATCCTCTGCAATGTCACTAGCATTAAAAAAAAAAAAAAAAAAGTTCACCGAGTGTAGTAAACCTGTGCGTCTGTAATATACATATATACTATTATAAATATATATTCGTCCTTCCTTTATACATATGCTGTTTGGCTGAGAGATGGCTTCTTATTTGGGCGTTGCTAAGGTTGCCTTTGAAAGCGTATTTGCAAAAGAAAAAAGAAGAAGACTTGTCCAAGTGTTTGTAATTGACGGTGCATCTCCTTCGCGTTTGATCTCATTGATTCGCGCGGGTTCCCGGATCCATGGCCCGCGTTTAAATAGCGTGGCAGCGGCAGAGCGGAGCGTGTTACCACACAAGGCGAGCCGAGGCCTGGATTGTGTTCCAGCGGGTGGGGTGGGTGGGGGTGGGGAGGGGTGGGGGCTGGGCTGGGGGAGCCTCTCATTAACATTCTTACATCAGGGCTCCTCCCCGCAACCCTCCCCTGCCCACAGCTTCCCAGTCCCTAACCCCGCTACCCGCCTGCACTGCCTCTATGCCTTTCCTTAAAGCAGCCACCGCCCACGTCTGCACCCGCGGGAGCCCGCACTGCGCGGTGCGCCTCCAGGGTCCCCGCCTCTCCCTGGCCCTGCACTCTCCAGCTCTGGGCTTTAAAAAAAGGAAATGCGTTTGAAAAGAAAGAAAAGCGCAGGCACCCTCACTCGCACAAAGAGGACACACGCCCCGGGGGCAGAAGGCAGGACTGGGGAAAGGGAGTAGTTTCCAGACTGCTACTCTCCAAGCAAAGTTCCACAGGTCCCCCGGCCTCACCTCTTTCGCGCTCTGCCACACGCACTCCAGCCGCGCCGACTAAGATTGACTGGGCACCTGACCTTCCCGGTCCCCGGCGCAGGGTCTGGGAAGACGGACCCAGCCCCTTCGTGGACCTGGGGTGCCCCGCGGGCCCGCAGCTTGCCTCACCCGTGCTTGGCCTCGGCCCTGCGCCAGCCCCCACCGTCTGGGCCGTGCGGGTCACCCTGGAGTTGCAGCGGCGCCGGGGCCACCGCGTCCGGGTTCACGGACCCCCGCAGGCGAGCGGAAAGCCAGGAAAGGAAAACTTGCTGCTCTCAAAGGCGAGCGAATGTTTCGGCTTCTGGAGGCGTCAGAAAGCTTGAAAAGCATCTCCAGATCGTCCTCGGGGCTCTGTTTGTTAAACCAGCGAATGAAAGGACTGTCTCCCCAAAACGTCCCCCGGAGGGTCCCCCTCCAACCCGAGGGCGCTCGGAGATCCAAGGGCTTCTTTCGGCTCCGGGGAGCGCAAGTCTCGCTGCTCGAGATTCTGCGACTCCAGGAAAGGTCCAGCCTCGGAGGTTCCGCCTTCCCCTTGGTCACCGTCGCAGCGGGGCGCGGAGACACCCAGCGCCAGAGGAGCACCGCCAAAGTTCTCCGCGCAGCTGGGCAGCGCAAAAGGAACTGAAGCCTCTGTACGCAGTAACCCACAAAAGTCGTGAGCAACGCAAGGGTGCTCCCTCGCACAAGAGAATTCGGACGCTTAAATCCCGCAAATTAAAATAAATTGAAAATGTTTTAAAATGTTCTTTCACTTGGACGTCCGGGTTCACAGACTTGTTAGTCTTAAACCTACGCCCTCTTATGGCGGAAACTCGCACCGGCTCTTTCCACCGCCCGGGAGCTGCTCCCACCCCTCTCCACCCCACCCCCAGCCACCCCCCACCCAGCCCTAAATTGCCCCAGCTGTCCTCTGTGACCCCGAAAAGACAAACTGAGGTTTCCGGAGATGTGGCAACTTCGGGCACCAGCCCTCCTCGCCGTTAACAGCACCCTGTTTATCGCTGTTACTGGCATCGCAAATGTAATTAGGGGTAACGTTTCATCCTTTGGCTCACTTAGATTTGAGATTATGCAGTGTAGTCCCTAAATTTTCACTGTAAGTAGGAGATTTTAACTCTTGGGAGAACTTTTGTCTATTTAATTGTAGTGGTAATCATTAGCAGAAGTGGCATCTATAATAAAATTTAATTCCACGCACCCTAGAAATTGAAATTTTGTGCTTCGCAGCAATTAACTCCTCTCTGAGGTCGTAGGAGGGCAGGCTTGGCTATAAGATCATAGTTATAGTGGGTTTTTTTTCTTAACAAGACAACAGGACAGCAGCTAAATCCCGAATTCCAAGAGTCTTAATGGATTTCAGCTAGTTGCCGCGAGACCTGAGAGACCAGGGTTTCCTATTACCACCCGCTATGCTCAGCGTCTGGGAACCTCAGCCAATGGAGATTTGATTCTGCAGCGTGCGGTGTGGGCTTACGCGGAGAGTCTGGGGTTTCAGTGGCACTGGGCGTGAATGCCACTCGCATCTCAGGCGCTGCCCAGCCTGGCCCACGGGTCAACAGCAGGGCAGTGCGATTACGTTAGGATGAGCCTGGTACCCGCCTCCTGGCCTTTGGATAGGGGCTCTCAACTTGCAGTTCATCGCCAACGAGCTCGACCAGGACGCAGTGTGGCAGGGAAGAGGCCCCAAACTAAACAGTAGGAGAAAAGCCAGGGCTGGCATCCTTGCCCATGCTCAGAACACCCCTTTAAAACAGCCAAGAGCAGAGAGTAGGAATTTAAAGAAAAATTTTCAAATGCAAACAGGCACAAGATTATAAAAGGGCTCACCAAGTAGTATATGGATTTTAACGTTATGGATTGTTTTTATTTCATGAAAGCAAACTTTCTGCAGGTAACCGAATATTTATGTAAATGTCATGGAGTTCTGCAATTTTGGAGTCCTAAAGATTTAGGAAATCGTCCACACTAGGTCTGGTAGTACACACCTGTAAGGCCCGCCCTCTGGGGGGCGGAGGCAAAACGATCACAACTTTAAGCCCAGTTTGAGGAAAAGAAAAAGAAAAAAAAAAGGAAAGGGTCTTGGAAATGTAGCTCGTTGTGAAGGTCCTGGACTCAATCCAGTGAGGGGTTGGGGAGGGAGAGAGAATAGAAAAGAAGAAAGAAGTCAACAAGCCTGACATCTTGCATTTAATTGAAGTGAGATGGCCCAAAGAGGATAAATGATATATACAAATACTGCTTTGGCTCCTGAAAATATTTTTAAATAAGACTGAATTATAAATAAACCATGTAGTACTTACCATACCAAGTAAAAGAGGGTTGTAGGCAAAGCTAACTGGCCCTATGAGCGACAACATTCTTTGTATCAAAATTGTATTTAATATTTAGTTAAGTATTCAGACTACAGAGCAAACTAAAACTGAAGAAAAAACATCGTTTTATAATAAAAACTTTGCAACACTTTTTTTTTTTTTTCAGAACCAGGGATTGAACTCAGGCCTTTGTGCTTGCCAGGCATCTCTCTGGCCCCTCTTTGTAACACTTTAATTAAAAAGTTAAAGCCATAGGTGGGTGTGGTGGTGCATGCCTGTAATCCCAGCACTGGGGAGGCTGAGGCAACAAGAGTACTTCAAATTGGAGGCCATAAAGAGTTCAAAACCAGCTTGAACTACACAGTGAGACCTTGTCTCAAAAAAAAAAAAAGTTAAAGTAAAACAAGAAGAGGGAAAATAGAAATAATATATCTTGGACTCAATTTTTAGACATTGTTCCTTCTGATTCTGTAAAACATGAAATAGGAAAAGGCCTTTTCTACATTCAAAAAATCACAAATCTTGCATTAGTGCATCCTTTCTGGCTTTAATTGTTGAATGTGAACAAAAAAAAATGTGGAGAAATACTACAAAATAAAATTAGGTAATTAAAACCCTAAAGGACAAAGTTCATGAGATAATATAGAAATTCATAGATCTTCTGTAGGATTTAGAAATGTTTCCACCAACATTCACAAAACATGAATTTTTTTTTAACTTTAAGCAACTAAAATGAAGAGGCAAGTTTTCGAGAAAGTTCTCTGCTTAGTTCCAACTGTGTGAAATGAAATTCATAGCCCAGCCACTGTGCTGCTACCAGGAAAAGTAGCACCGTACAGAGAAACTAACACATGATTCTCTGAAAGGCAGTAGAAATGCTATCAGAACAAGTTTTCTCCACCTCTTGTACCAGTTTCTGTAGCTTTTCATCCTCAGAATCCTGGACTCGACCTCAAAAGTAAGCACACATCAGATTTTCAAAGGGCCTCTTTTTCCCTGTCTAGCCAACTCTGAAGTCACACTAAAGATCACCCCTGTGAATCCCAACTCTGAAGTCACACTAAAGATCACCCCTGTGAATCCTGCAGCCCACAAGAAAATACTTTCTGGAGAAAGAAATGTTGAAAACACACTTCCCCCTAGAGGCAGAAAAGATTAAAAATATATGTATTACAAATAATGCGAACATGCTTCTGTAATTGAATGAGTGATGAGATTCTGATTTTTAACATAGAGTTGATGTTTCAGGGGAAACTACTCAATAAATAGGAGAGAAAATCAGTGAACACAAACAATTGAATTAAAACTCTGCCTCTAGGTTTTAGCTTTCCTTGTAGAGACTCTCATAGTTGAGCCCTTTTCCTCTATTACACAAATCTACATTTTTTTCGGCCAAATAATAGTAATCATGTATTTTTTGTTCAGGTTTATGACTTGTTTTCATGAGAAACTGCAACTAAATGTGACCTTTGAGAAGGCTTTTGTGCTACTATCCTCTTAGATTTCCATCCACTACAGTCTTATTTTCATTTGTTTGAAAATGTTCTAAATAGGATCTCAAGTCCGCATCTTGTACAGCA